AACTGTAATAAAGTCCCTATGTATTGCCCGTATAATCGATTTAGCCCCTATATATATATATATTTTTTTTGCAATTTAGTCCTAAATACCTGTAAATGTAATCAAAACGGGAAATTTAACGGGTTAGCCGGTATCCCACCGGTACTATGCGCATGTGGCACCTTACGTGTACAAGTGACTTTTACCCTTCCATTTCTACTGCATTCGACGTCTGGTAGATCGATTGAGAGAAAAAGTTAGGGTTTTTACAGAGTGATACACGAAGGAAGTAGGGTTTTACTGAGAGAAACGAAGGTAAAACCCAATGGCTGTCGAATCAGAGGTTCACCATGAGTCATCTGAAGAATACGACTCTGAAGAATACGAAGATGATGAAGAGGTGCTCGATACTAAGCACATAGATGTGGAAATGGAAGATGTTGATTTCAAGACACAAGGTAAAGAGAGATGCAAGGATGCTTTCCTTAACTTCAGTTCTGATTATGAAGATAATGAAGCTGATGAAGACAATGACTTAGTTGATGAAGATGAAGAAGGGTTTGGTTCAGAAGAGGAAATCAATGACACTGCAGGGGCTAATGATCTTGATTTGGGAGATGCGGTTGGTGCAGGCTTCCCCATTCACGACCCATCAGTTAAGTGGAATAAGATGAAGCCCCTTCTTGGTGAAAGGTATGAATCACCACATCAGTTGCAACAATGTCTCACTAATTATGCTATTAAGTCAGGGTATAACATTAAATTTGCGAAGTGTGACACTGTGAGATTAACTGCCAAATGTGGTTCTAAGATGAAGTCTCAACCCTGCCCATTCAGAGTTCATGCTTCCTGGATGACTCAAGAAAGGTCTTTTCAGATTAAAACCTTAGTCGATGAGCACAAATGTGTTAGAAATTTCAATATTTCAAATTTACTGAGTCCCAGATGGCTAGCAAGACACTTTTTGAAGGAGTTGATAATGAAACCTAACTTAAAGTGTAAGGAGATGCAATCAATAATTAGGACCAAATTTCATTGTGGTGTGTCTTGGTCTAAGGCTTACAGAACAAGGTGTAGAGCAATGACCATTATAGATGGTAAACTCACAGAACATTATGCTAGGGTGTGGGACTATTGTCATGAGTTACTAAGGTCAAATCCTGGTAGCACTGTCCAAGTTGGTGTCACTGTAAATCCAAATCAAACAACATACTTTCACAGGATGTATTTGTGTTTTAAAGCAATCAAGGAAGGTTGGAAAATAGGGTGTCGTACGGTAATTGATATAGATGGGTCTTTCTTGAAAGGGACATGTAAAGGAGAATTACTCACAGCAATAGGGAGGGATGCAAACAACCAAGTTTATCCAATTGCTTGGGCAGTTGTTGACATTGAAAACAAAGCTAATTGGAAATGGTTTCTGGAACTGCTCACAGAGGATCTTAATCTGCTAGATGGAGGAGGGTTTACTGTAATTTCTGATCAACATAAGGTTTGTAATTTCTTAGCATATTTATGATTTTTCCTTAACATCATCTTATATGTTTATGTATTCATTAAATTGTAGGGATTGCTTGAAGCAACCAAGGAAGTCCTACCAAATGTGGAGCATAGACAGTGTGCAAGACACATATATGCTAACTTTAGGAAGACCTATTCTGGAGTGGAGTTCAAGAATATGTTCTGGGCAGCTTCCTTATCAACTGTAAAGAGTGAATTTCTGAGGAAAATGGATGATATAAAAGAGGTTAATCCAAATGCTTATGAACATTTGATTGCAAGACATCCTCACACATGGTGCAGGGCATTTTTTAGGACTGATGTAGCATGTGAGGCAGTTGAAAATGGCATAGCAGAGTGCTTCAACGCCATCATATTGGATGCTAGAAAGAAACCCCTTCTAGCAATGTTTGAAGAAATTAGGTTGTACATGATGGATAGGTTCTACCATATGTTACAAAAGGCAGAAAAGTGGGAATCAGTGGTTTGTCCAGCTGCTATCAAGAAAATGAACAAGTTTGGAGAGGATTTGAGGTTTGTCTTAGCATTTTTATTGTTCCTTGTTATCATTATTCTAATTTCATTGTTATGATTTCATTTAGTAATGCTATTGTAGGAATTGGAATGTGAATCCAAGTGGACCATCTATTTCTGAAGCCAGGAATGGATTAGAAGGGTACGTGGTTAACTTACAAAGCAGAGTGTGCAACTGTAAGCTTCGGGATATCTCAGGAATTCCATGTGTACATGCACAGTGTGCAATACTATTCACTGGACAAGATCCTGTTCATTTCATAAGTGAGTGGTTTAATGTGGACAGGTTCAAGGCCATATATGCAAACAATATACTGCCTGTGAATGGTAGAAATTTATGGCCTAGAACATCATACATAAAGCCTCTACCCCCTTTAGCTAGAAGAATGCCAGGGAGACCAACTCTGAAAAGAAAGAGGCATGTCACTGAATCTCAAGATAAATACTCCCAAAACAAGATGAAGGTTATTGGAATAGGAAGGAAAGTCCAATGCAAAAATTGTCTTCAAAGGGGTCATAACAAGGCATCCTGTAAGAATCCCAATGTCACACCAGAACCCAAACCCAAGAAAAAAATGGGTAGACCAAGATTGGATCCTGATATCAGTCATCTGACTAGAGGTGGTGTAAGAGGTGGTGTCAGAGGTAGTAGAGGTGGTGAAATGGGTAGTAGAGGTGGTAGAGGGGGTAATAAAGGTGGTGCAATGGGTAACATAGGTGGTGTAGTGGCTAACAGAGGTGGTAGAGGTAGTAAGAGAGGTGGTAGGGCTAGTAACAGAGGTGGTAGGGGCAGTAAGACATCTGTTAGAGATGAAGGTGGTGGAGGTGCTGAAGTTGAAGGTGATACAGTTGAAAATGAGGATGACACTATTCCTGAAAAATATTTAGTCCATTTATGGAAGTCAATGCAAGATTTGAAACAATCAGGGTATTCAATTGAAGAAATTAAAAATTCACTTAGTCTGACAGATTCACGTATGAAACATCTTAATGATTACAATGACACTATTGAACAAGTTCTTCCTATGTCTATGGTAAACCCTCTATATTAGCTTAATGTTTACATTCATTTATGTTATTAATTTCTTGATGTTTTATAGGAAGAGGAGTATCCACCTCAGAATGAGACACAAGATGGGGTGAAGAAATTATCCTTGAGACACAACCAGAAAGTGAAGAAGAAGAAGGCATTAATGACACCCAGGAATTACCAGTACACCTTAGGATTGTGAAAAGAAGAAGGCCCACTCAGAGGATTGTTAAAAACAAGCTGAAGAAGATGGGATGTGTTGGGACTTCTGCAAGTTCAACATTGGAGTTGGATTAGGGTGTTAGGGTGTTAAGGGTAGTAATGGTATTTGGTACATCTTTTTTGAATGCTATTTTTGTGAATCTTTTGTGAATGCTACTTTTGTACATCTTTTGTGAATGCCCTTAAATTACTGATAGCCATATTTTGTACATCTTTTGTAAACACATTGAAACATTGTGAATGCCCTTAACATGGTTGGTAATGACATATTGGAGTTTGTTGTTTAATTATTTTAGCCACAAGTGTGCATACTTCATTGGTTTGTTGTCAATGGTGACCATTCTAGCCCCAAATTCAACACCAATTGTTAAATCATGGTTATATTTCACAAGTGTACACCATTTATGCAAACCATAATAACATATTTCCATTTCGTTAACCAAAATATTACATGATCCACAAGAACATTTATCTATTACAGTAAACCCTCCTCCATCTATTACATCATGATAACAAACCAAAAGACTACATCATCCCTACCATACCATAATACCTTACAACTTACACTAAACTAAGCATACATCATCCCTACAATGAAACAAACGAAACAAACCATCATCCACTTGCAGAATCCAAATTCATTACCAGGCACATGTGTATTCTCACGCATTGTAATTTGATTATCAGGTTCAAGAGCATTCACAGGGGAAATAGGGACATCAACATTCATAGGGGCAATAGGGCCATCAATAGGTATTTCACCTTCATTAAGAGGGTTATTGAAAGAAATAGCTACATCCCCATTAGCAACAGCTCCTAATTCATACATTCTTTCTTTATACCACTTATTCAATAGTGGTGGATCAATCCAACGAAAATACCCACAGTCCTTCTCTTCATCCTACATAACATAACAAGATGCATGTTTTTAACACAGAAAAATGGGAATTTTAGAGGATTAGAAGAATTTGGGTGAGATTTGAAGATTCTATACCATGTAATTTGGGCAACCAAAAAACCTCCGACCTGGATTCTTTCGAGTCCATGATGTCCACATACCTGCCCTATCTCCACAATAGCACATTCTGATGTTGGTGCTTGATGAACTCGACATCGATTTCATGTTTCCAATTTGCCCTAATCGTTCGCTCATTTGACTGGAGAATGAAGAAGACGAGCTCGATTTAATGATTTAGCCCTCTATAATGGCACGTAGGATGTTATTTAACATGATGACTTCCAGGTAAGCTGCCACATCAGTTAGATACTGGCTAACCCATTAAATATCCGGTTTTGATTACGTTTACAGGTATTTAGGACTAAATTGCAAAAAAAAAATATAGGGGCTAAATCGATTATACGAGCAATACATAGGGACTTTATTGTAGTTTTCCCAAAAAAAATAATTGGAGTTAAAAAAATAAGACTTAAGAAAATGAGAATGGGATGGACTGATGAGAAGAAGGAAGGAGGAGGAAAGAGAAGGGGAGGCTAAAAGAGGAGGAAGAAGAAAGGGGGGCTGAAGAGAAGGTGTGGCAGTCGAGAGGACTACAGTGGGAGGGAGGAGAGTAGTTGCGGATGAGAGGATTATTTGATTGCAGGTTTGAGAGGGAAGAGTACCGAAGGGGGTAGTAACTGCTATAATAGACTTCGGTGCGAGGTGAGTTGAAGATTGTGATAGTTAAGTAGTTGCGGTAGAGGCAAAATCAAGGACTGACTGCGGTGCGAAGCTGCAGTGGCAGAACAACGGTGCGAAGGGGAGAAGAAGGAGCATGTAAATGCTCTACAAATTATGGAACTACTCATGTTGGTGTTTTCTCTTTCCCTTTGGCTGCAGTGGAAGAAATGCGGTGCGAAGGGCAGAAGAAGGCTGAAAGAGGCTTCTCAGGAGACTGCAATAGACAGTTTTTGGCTGCGATTCAGGGGACCGAGGAGGGCTGGGCCGATGACAAAAAATGTTATTTTTCATGAAAAAAAATGATAACGAAAAGGCCATTGATTAATATTTTAATGAGGGGAATCTTTTCTAAAGCATTTTGGGTCAAAAAGAGGTGTTGGGAAGACAAAAAAGGATTGAGTGTGCATGGGTTTAAAGGGACAAAAGGTGATGGGATTGGAAAAAGTGTAACATCCCGAGTCCAGGTATACCTCGTAACCCTTGGTCTTTCGAGTACTTGTCCATTTTAGTCCCATTTTGAGAAAATGTGGTGAATGAGTACAAGGGGCGTACGCAAGTGTATGCTCAGCGTACTCATATGCGTACATTTGATGCGAAAGCCACCTAGTATGCTGGGCATACTAGGCCCAGAGTGAAAACCCTAATTTAGGGTGAGACCCCTATTTAAAGGATATGATGGCCTCATTCCTGGCTACCATTCTCAGGCAACAACCCTCATAAACCCTAGTTTTCGTTCTTAGATTTTGTGAGTGCATTTGAGAGCCTTGAGAGTATTCTTGTGTTTCTTTGGAGTGAAGAATGAGCCTTGAAGAAGAAGGAGTGGAATTCCAGGCTTTAGATCTGAGCTTATTTGAGTGTGGGGCTTTATTTTGAGGTATAAAGCTTAAAGCTTTCTCAATCTTTTGATTTGTGCATCATAGTAGAGTATTTTAGAGTTTTGTCCCAAAAGTTGGAGACTTTATGAGATATTGAGATCCAGATACTATGATCAACCCCCTTTGAGTGTATTTAGTTGTGTAGTGTCATAAAAATCCAATATTGGACGTTGGAATCAAGCCATTCATGAGATATGGGCTTTTTGAGAAAAAAGAGTGAGTGTTTTGTGTGTTTGTGACCATTCCATCCATGCAAAGGCTTAAAGTCACTGACTTTATGGAGTAAGAGCTATTAGGGAGTCCAGATCTGTGATATGAGACAAGGTCTTAACTGATTAAGACCAAATTAGTGAGAAGAGTGAAAGTGGGACGTATGTTGTGCGTAATCCCAGCACGCACAGCGTAGGGTTCGAGCATCCCCGATGCATGCATGATAGTAGAGTACGCGCAACGTAGAGAGCTGGTACACGCAGCGTACTCTCTGTCGTTGACTTTTGGTTGACTTTTAGGGTTTGGTCAATTTGTGGACTATTAAGGCCATTGAGGGGTAAAATGGTCTTTTACCCTTCTGTGAGTTTGTAGAAGGGTTAGTTTAGCTTATTGAGAGTCGTGATTAATTAGGGATAATTCTCGTATGTGTTAGGTGGAGGCTAGACCGGTGATTTGAGTTCGAGATTAGCCGATTTCTTGCGAGGTGAGTCTTCTTACTATACTTACCATGAGTGGTATCTTTGTGTGACTGAGATGTCTTATGTGTTTATCTGTGTATTGTGATATTATACATTTTGTTTTTGTGATTTATGTTGAGTACTATTATTATCAACTTATTGAATTAGGACCGGAAGGTCCACCCAAGTTGTGGGACCGAAGGGTCTCCACTGGAACACATTGACCAGAGGGTCGTATTGAGTTAGCCTCGAGTGGCTAATGTGATGTGTATGGTATTTTGGGGAACTCACTAAGCTTCGTACTTACCGTGTTATGAGTTATGTCTTCCAGGTACTTCTTAGGATCACGGTAAGGCACCGACTTGATTGTACACACACCCGCATTGGAGACATGTTTTTGGAGGATCCTGGATTTGTGATAAACACTTTTTGAAATATATTTTGAAAATTGATACTTGAGATTTTTGAGAAAATGGGACATGTGTTTTATTCTGTTTAAACATGAAAATTTTGGCTGAAAAATTACGTTGTTACAAGTTGGTATCAGAGCCTTGGTTTGAGGGATTCAGATGCACCTCTGGGTGTGTTTGGACTCAAACTGAGGATTTGAGAAAAAATTTCAAAAGAAATGTTTTTTCTAAAATGAAAAAGAGTTTTAAGAGAAAACGAGTTGGAGTGGTGTGCACAATCAACCAGAGCCCAAACGGTGATTTCCCAAAATACCCTTACTTTTGTGTTATGAGATATTTATGCGATATTTTATTAGAATTGCATGCTAGATAGTAGGCTAGGTATTTCATATTCTAGGGCTAGAGTTGCATGATTTGTGATGCCTTAGCCTAGGAGATGCTTTTGATCAGTGTTATCTATTATTTTCTCTGAGTATGTGTTGAGTTCTGAGTCGGGAGATAATCTAGGAAGAGATGCTTAGATGAGCATGTGATTAGTCTACTGAGAGAGTAGTCTGAAGTTTGTAAGGGATAGAATACTTGTGAATTAGAATCTGAGGAGGAGGACTTGGGGTGATTACAGGTAGTGTGTGGAAGGTAGTATTGGTCCCGTACTACTGAAAGCACCCGGTCTATATGCAATCCAAGTAAGAATCCTTCGGATGCTAGGGATCAAGTAGGAATGAGTAGTCGAGTGTGAGTATGCTCGAGCGAGTCTCTAATGATTTTGTGTTGTGTTTTAGAGACATCATGGTGGGTACACGCCACATCCCAAAGAGTAATAGAGTTAGCGATTATGAGATTTGTAGGACGATTCACGATGAGGTGGCCACAGCCATACGAGAGGCTATTACGGAGATGTTTGGGTCTATTAAGACCAATTTGATCGAGATGTTTGATGAGCAATATGCTGCAGTTTCTGAGGCGGTTGTTGTTGCAACCACAGGGAGGTGACGCGTTGCTGTACCGGGAGTTCAGCAACACAAAGCCACCAGTTTGATGGGACTCAGGAACTGATTGATGTGATGAGATGGATCTCTGATATCGAGGGGTTTTTCTACACTTGTTCATGCCCAGAGCATTTGAGGGTGCAGTTCGTGCTGAACCAGCTTCGCTTGGGAGCGAAGGTCTGGTGGAAGTTTGTGACGGTTAATTTTACTCCTGTAGAGCACACTATAGTGATTTGGGAGAGGTTTACTATGATGTTCCGAGATTAGTATGTTCCCCCGGTGGAGAGGAAACGGTTGGCCCAGGAGTTTCTATCTCTCAAGTAGAAGACAAAGTCGGTGACTGAGATTACATGGATGTTTCACGAGAGGGCGTTGTTCTGCCCTAAGAATGTGTTGACTGAGTAGGCGCGCATGAGCCGTTATTAGAGTATTCTGAGGAGGGATATTTGAGAGTTCGCAGCAAACTCTTCTTATCGGACATTTACTGAGCTTCAGGCAAATGTCAGGAGGACGGAGATCGAGCTGGAGACTCAGGGCAGGGAGGATGCAGAGTCTCAAGGGAGAGACCGGAGGTCGACGCATTCGCAGCCGGCAACGAAGCGGGCTAAGCCCACTGATTCGAGGATTGGGGGCCATAAGGGTCGTAGTTGTGGGA